TTGCAGTGTTTAAGATGGTAATAATATACATTACACACACTAGTGTAAAATACCAGTGTAATCCTACAGTGTTTCGTATGGTTAGTATTAGAGGATGAAAAGCCGCAGTATATTTTCAACACCGCAAAATTGCGCTATCTGAACTTGTAATGTCGCAAAATTTGCGATATTACGAAATTAAAAAATCCTTTAATGGCAACTAAAACAATAACATGAGTAAAAAAATCTTTAATGGGAGTTAAATTAAAACACTAACTGAGATAATTACAATTAATCACACATACAACCCTAATCTTAATTTTTACCTTGGAAATGTTTATGTAAAAAGCAAAGCATATCCACCGTCTCATCATTTAAAGAACTTCTAATTTTATTACATATGTATCCAGCAGCCGAAAATGCTCTCTCAGCTTCTACACTTGTTGGTGAAATGCTTAGCAGATAGTTATACACAGTCTCCAGATATTTACCCATTGTTACTCCAGTTTCATACCGGGTTCGTTTTTAATACTGCGAAATTCGCACCTGTAATCTCGCTTTTGCGATACTGAAATACAGCGCAACATCCGCGAAATTGCTCTAACGATATAACGGTACTGCATGCTCTAGTTAGTGTAGAGAACTGGAAACCCTATTTACTGAAAACGAGCGATTCCATCTTGGTCCTCAGGGCAACGTTCTACATTTCGTTTCTTTACTGAGGGTAGATGTAAAATATCTGTTCTTCCACGGATTTTTTTTACAATCAGTTGGACTGTATTCTCGTTTGTGAACCTTCTGTCTATTAAAAAATAACAAATCCCACTAGAAAACCAACAATTTGTGTTTTTGTTCAGGTGTTGTCTCCGGCTGGGATTCGAACCAAGGATCCAAGAAGCAGTTGCCAGGTAATCTAACTTAGGTCCGTACCGATTGTAGGCTTGTTTTTGAAATAATCCGTTGTAAGTAATTCATGGAATACATGCTTATATGGCTTTTTTAATTATTTATACTATTTAATAACCCCGTTATATATACTATTTTCTTGTATTAACATATTTAAATAGCATATATTCCTCAACATAACATATATCCAATAAGTTGTCGTTAACCACATGTTGTGTTGGTTTGCATACTTACTAAATAAAGTTTAAATAATTAGGCATTTATTAGTATGTATATAGCAGTTTGTTAACCCTAATAAGTTCTTCTATACGTACATAGCAATAAAATGTCAGGATAGATCTAGGCTATATTTTCCGAAAAACTTAGATTTTATTCGAAAAAACGAAAAGTTGATAAAATTAAGCCTCTTATTATTATAAAACAACGCCAAAATAATGTAACCTATTCAGGCGAAGCTGGGACAAGTCGCTAGTGTAAAATAAAATAATTACTACGTTTCGCTTCGTTTATCGGCCCGTAGAAGTCCACTGCTGGACATGCGCCTCGTCCCTACAACGGAGAAGGAGAACTAGGCATAGGTAACTCAGCGAAATTCCTTACGTTAATTCAATAGTTATTCAATAAAACCGCCACAACTTTATTTGTATAATAATGCGTTATAAACTTCCCGCTTCCGCTTGTCAGCCCGCTAACACTCTGCACAAACGTATTATTTTTTGCCTCATCATCATCATTCAACACATTGCAAGAAAACCGTACTGTAATTGGTTAGTGCAATTTGCTTGTAAGTGAACATAATATTATGTGGATTGCTCATTGTGTAGATTTCTACCGGCTTCAAAAAGGAGACGGTACTCAATTCGACTGTATGTTCTTTTTTTTTTCTTTTTCTTTTATGTGTGTTTACCTCATAACTATTACCTGAGTGATGACTTCGATGATTCTTTTTTTTATTTGAAAACTGATGCTTCTCATGTGGTCCCATATAAATTTGATCAAGGTCTGACCAATAGATTTTGAATTATTATTAATAATTTGTATTGAAGTAGTTTGTACAAAATTTTTAATTTTATATTATTTCTTTTAATATTCTGTAGTAAACAAGGACCCCTCCTTTTGTATAGTAAAGTTAGTTTAAAATGATCTCACTGCTTAAAATATGTCTCACCTTCCTAAGGATGGATGCTGAATGTTATAAGACATGTTATATTGCATTGTTATTCTAATGTGTACAGTATTATTATGTTGCAATATTGAAAAACAATGTTACATAATGTGGACGTGTTATAAAACAAAAGTTACACTATCATTAAAACTTTAAAATATTTAGAACTAGCTGGTACCCGGCGCATTGCAGCCGCAAAAGAAATAATTGTGGAAATATCGTTTTAAATTTGGGAGTTATATTGTTAATTAGGAATGATAATGCATTCATTGAAATTGAATGATATACAACTTTCAAATGAATTTGTCGAAACGATACGCGCGCCACTTACTGTAATTTAATTGTAGTATGCCTATAACCTTCGCGCAAGTGCAAGCAATAAGTTGTCAAAGTTTTACCGCAATCTGATGAACGGCATGGCAGCGCATAAAATACGAACAAACAAATATATATTTTTATATATTAGATAATCTACACACTGGAATCCCACCTTAAGCGTGTCCAAACAAGCAGTTTTTCTAGTTAAGTATGGGTCGCGTTTCCCTACGAGGTCATAGAATCGTTGCTTCCGGTAATTGGTTGTTTGGAATAGAGTTACGTCACAAAAGCGAAAGTATAATGATGATTCGAATCCACCATTCGACTACTGTCATAAGTCGGAGACACATTTTTTTTTTAAATAGAATAAGTGTTACAAACGAGTACACAGTCCACCTGATGGTAAGTTTATACTGTGGCCCATAGACATCTATGTACATCTATCTACAATTAAGAATCAATAAGCAGATGCGTTGTCACCACTGAGGACTAAGATGTAATGTCTCGATTCCAGTAAAAAAGGGTCTCCGGTTCTTCTCTACATTTACCATACGAAATAATACAACATTGAGCTGCTATTTAACGCTGGTATTCTGTGAGAGCGTGGTCCTTCACGTGCTACAACCATATATAGCTATAAATTATTACGCGTGACTCTACCACGCTTAAAAAATTTAAGCTAAGTAGAAATTCTTTAAGGTTAACTTTAACATTTCGTTCAGGACACCATCCATCAAGAAAGGTTGGGTTCCTGATAAGGACAACTGACGCTTCTAATTTCGAAGAGTGTGGGCTTTTAGAAGATGACCAACATTTATTTATGTTGTGGGTCAAATATTAGTAAAAGAGACTATAGAGAGAGAATATACCGTCGAAGCTGCATCAGAATTACCGCTAGGATGTTTTCCGAGTTGTTATTCACAAATCTTCACACGTGAACGTCTTATATAGGGAACGATGCTGTTGGCATATGCCTAAAGATAAGAAACCAACCAAAAAAAAATAGAAAAAAAAAACTAACCGCGGGTTGTTCACCTTTACTTAACCAACGCGTTTGTATACGTTAAAATGGCGCGATCTATAGTCATACAAGAAAAATAGTTGTATCACAAAAAGTTGCGCTAAACGTATGTAAAAAGAAAACAATTAGGTACAATAACCGTAGTTTCACCCAATGGTTTGACGTCATTTTATTCTCAATTTCTCTAACATTTTTTTGGGATGAACTCGTGCTGTTGTCCTTTTGCCAGTGTCATGTACTTTTTTTTTAATTACTAGGATTTTCTCCTGTGTCGTGGAGGCAGTTTACAAACATAAATTGCACGAGAACAACATCCAGACCCGGAACAATTATCTGTAGGTCATACAAATACTTGTTCTAAATTATAGTAATAAAACCATATCCTTTTATGTAATTTGTTTAAAAACATCTTCACAATATTATGTTGATGTGTCACATTGCTTAGTTTTCGGGAGATTTTTGACGGCAGCTTGAACGAGCAGATAGTCGATGACGACAGTATCTCAAGGCGCCTAATATACACATGATCTTGAGGTTTACATCACCATCGGAGCACTCGTTTCATCGTTTCCACTAATAGTTCACATGTACAGACATTTAATACACAAAATCGCATCACTTTTACGTATCAAATTCCATTTTGAACCAGTTATTGATACAATAAAACTAGAGCAGCAATCCGCCGACGGCAGTTTTGGCGGGAAATTGATCCCGCCAAAAGTCCTCTAAAAGTTTGTAAAAACATATTATGTAAAATTATAAAGAAATGTAGTTTTTAGTTTTAAAAATTTGACTACAGTACTTTTAGACAGAAATGTAAAAATTTGTAACGAAAATATTGCACTACGACTTTTTTTAAACTTAAATGTTAATTCAAAACGATTTATTTCTTTATTTAAACATACATAAAATAGTTTACAATCATTAACAGAAAACAGTTTGGAATGTGCATGCATAGAAACTAGATCATTAACCCTAGTATAATATTATGTACACAGCTTGCCAGAAGCAAGTGAAAACCGACAACATATTTTACAAGGGTTTTTTCTTTACTAACTCCCTTTTGTTTGGGTCGAAGAGCAGATTAGTAAATTTTAAACATAGCTCAGAATTGGATGACAATGTAAGAATATAAAAAAAAAGAAGAAGAAGTCCTTTTCAGTCCGTTTTTAAAACCTGGTATATTTTTATAAATTTGTACTTTTAATTTTTCTTCTAATATATTGGAAAAAGACACAATAGTTAAACCATCAAAATGTTCATATTATAGACGTGGTTTTAGCACGAATGGGTTGACTTGACCACGCACTCGCACAATAATATAGACCAGCGTATAATAGCACCTTAAAGCTGCTGTGTTTCGTATGGCGGGTGTAGAGAACTGGAGACCCTTTTTACTGGATACGAGGCATTCCATCTTAGTCCTCAGGGATGACAACGCATCAGCTTCATATTGATTCTTAATCAAGGATCAATGTAGATGTCTATAGACCATAGTATCACATTACCGTCAGGTGGTATGTGTGCTCGATTGTCACCCTCTTTCTATAAAAATAAATAAATATAAAAGTGGCTCAGGAAAGTTAGTAAAGCAAACCAATATTTTTTCAGTATGGCCGCCAGCACATCGAAGTGGCCAAGAAACTGCAGAGACACGACAGCTCTGACGAGGAAGATCCGCCCATACCAGACGATAAACCACCTTCAGCAATTATCAAGGAGAATGGCCTTAATGGTAAGTAAAAGTAATTCTGAACAGGAACAAAAAACAACACAAGAGACTAAAGATTAACATTTAATAAGATTCCATACATTCTAAGGACGATCCGATTGATTGGATTGATTTTTGTTATTGAGCTCAACGCCATCTAAAAGTTATTAATGAAAGTCTTCTCTGTATCTTCCGCCAAGTCGAGCAAATAAGCGGCACGGCCGTACCATCCTTTTCTCGAAGCAGTTCAGGCCATTTCCGTCCCCCTTCATTGTGGATAAAACTAGAAGACTGAATTTTCAGTAACCAAGCATGCATTGTATAAACACGATATATTTCAAATTTCATTCAATTTGAACCAGTAGTTTAAGAATTATAACCAGTCAAATTTTCTTAATTTAGTCAATCACTGACTGACCAATCATCAAAACTCTAAGACACTTCTAGCAGACATAGAAAAAATAGGATTACAAAGTTACATTTGCATTGAATGAATCAGTGTACTTGTATATGTGTAATATAATGGAATAATAGATGTAGATCGGTAGCTAGATATAATTATGTTCAAAGGTAACTTGTAAAATGGTCAACGGAATGAAAAAGCAAGAATGGGATATGTCTTATGAAGTCGTACCAAAATCTCCCAAAGTGTTAAGTAGTAAATTGCCCGAAAATCCGTAGTTGGTATTCAAGAAGTAGATGGTACCGGAAAGGAAGAAAGTTGGACTATCTACAAAAAGAAATGAGATGCCATCAAAAACATAACTTGTAAAAAAAAAACTAAGTCTAGTCTAAGCAACTCGCAACGCAACACTAAACAATCTAATTTCATATAATATGTATTACTTGTGAGATACATTGTGTTTTCATGCGATGGCCAAGTCAATCCATGTATTTAAAACATAAAAGATTTTTAATATTGATATAGTCGCTATAAGATGTTGTGTTAGGTTAGCTAATTACGTAATAACTTGAGACAAAAGGACCATTAAGTAGCGACTGAATAATCTCACAACTTTTTACTACGGTAGAAGAACTGAGTTGCGAGACTTGGTTTTTTTTTACATGTAGTAATTATCGTCACTATTTCTATTTTTTTCATCAAAATTAAATGAAACGTTAGTGAGGCGTGCACTTTCCGGTTTTCCTAATTATCTTAATTTTATTTTTTACTTATTTGTTTAATTTATGTACACCTCCCCTTTTCGTCATTCGTTCGTCAGTTTTTTTGCGCAAAAAGTTGTTCTTGAGAAATCGCTTCCAGAGTAATAAGATAACCCATTGTATCTTCTTTATAATTGTTATTTTGTTATGTTTTGTAGCCGACTTCATAATAAGAAGAGGTTCACAATTCGACTGTATGATTTTTTGTGTTTATGTTACACGATAAATTATATTCTTATTAAATAGTTTATACCTCGGGTAGTCTAAAATATTTTGAAGAAAAAAATTGTATCCTTGTGGTGGCAAAATAGGGGTAGAAGTTTTTTGTAAAAGGGTAATTTAACAAAAAGAAGTAACGGCCCGAATTCAGAATGTGAAGTTATTTTATTGTGTTTTAGGGTACCGTAGTTACACAAGAAGGAACCCTTACAGTTTCGCCATGTCCTTCCGTCTGTCCGCGGTTTTGCTCAGAAATCCTAGGTGCTACAAATGTGAAATTTGGCATAGTTATATATATTAATCACGCCTAGAAAACTGTGAAATAAAAGTCTTAAAAAACATTTTTTATTTTGTACAAGTAAATACAATAAAATATACAAGTAAATGGAGGATTTTTTTACCCGTCTATTCCATCATGTGGGGTATCGTTGGGTAGGTCTTTCAAAAACATTGGGGGTGTGGAAAGACATATTTTCGATTCAGGAGTCCGTTTGCAAAATATTTAGCTTTAAAGTAGTATTTTTCATTAGTCATGTGTGTACAGACAAACAGAAGGTCCTCATAACAATTTTTTTTGTCATGAGTGCCGTATATCCTTTCATATGCATTTAGTAAAAAGCTGTTATTTTGACATTACAAACTTTAATGTTATTTATCTGCATAGATTAAAAAATTTTTTTGCAACTGTAAGTGCTTTTATGTGTGCTATGTACTTTACGGTGAAGAATATAGTCCTGTCAATACGCAATAGGGTAGCTCATATAAAATTTCGTTTAGCAGCATAGAGAGATAGATGATGGTTACCAGCATAGTATTGTGTGCGAGCTTGGATGTAAATAAAGCACGGTCGCGGAGCAGGATGTTTTATTGCTTTCCATTTTTAAACTTAATTCCCATCATTAAAAGTTTTATTTCTATTGTAACTGAAATTGTTTTAAGACCTTTTGAACAGTATTTGTGATCCGAAAACCGAGCTTATTCTCAAGTCATTAAAGTTCACATTTGTATGAATTGCAATAATTTGAAATTCTTCCTGCTCCGCGATCACGCCATAACAGTATGATGTTGATGCGGCTACCTCGTTGGTCTAGTGATTGTAAGCGATACTGCTTATAATGAGTCAAAGAGAATCAGTTATTGAGTTTTCTCTCAAGAAATTCCAATAGCAGCCCGGAGCAAGGAAGTTGGTGGCGCTTAACCCCCGTGCCTCGAAAGGCTCTTGAAGTCATTGGTTCTGCGCCTGATACCTCTCCGGTCGTGTTGGATTCGTCCCATCGAAATATAAAGTGTGAGGGAATAGAGTGATTCTGTGCTTGCACAGTTGTGTACTGTCTGGAGACCTTTAATGTTACTGTTTTGATTTTTTACGCGATAGAGTCATGCTGCAGCATTATTGTGGTTGCAGCACGAATGGGTCCGTTAGACTGGAGTAGGACCACGCTCTCACAAAATACCAGCATAAAATAGCAGCTTAATGCTGCTGTGTTTTGTATGGTGAGTGTAGAGAACCGGAGACCTTTTTTACAGGTGACAACGCATCTGCATATAGATTCTTAATTGAGGATAGATGTCTATGGGCCACAGCTTCAACTTACCATCAGGTGGACTGTGTGCTCGTTTATCACCATTATTTTAATTAACAAAAAAAGACAAATGACGAGAACCAGGCACTCTTTTTACTGATAACGAGGCATTTCACGTTATCCTAAGGGATTTCAACGCGTCTGTATTTTGATTCTAAATCGAAAGTGGATGCAGGTTGCCCTATGTTCTATGGGCTACAGCATACACTTACAATCAGGTGGGCTCTCTGCATGTTTTTCACCCGTAATTCTTTAAAAAAGTTAGGTATTGATAGTACTGTTCTTTTTAAAAACCGTGTTCGTCCTTCTGTCTCTTTCTCAACACAGTAAGATAACAGTGATGTATTGTTTCAGGTACAAAGATGACAGTGATAGAGAGGCAAGAAATACTCGGTCCTTCTCCGGAGTTGAACTATAGGAAGGACCAGAACGGTCACCGGACCGAGCAGGGTATAGGCGAGGTGAGAGGTCTTGCATTTACGCTTTCACATTGAATTTAAATTAATTTTATAATTAACTGGATTATAGTGTTAGTTTATTCTATATAAAAAAAATACTAGGTGGAGCGGCAGACTTAGTTACATTTCAGTTAAGTGGCGCTAGGAGCTTAACTGTGAATTCACTCTGAACTTGTTACAGTTTTAATATAAAATTTATTGACAACTCGACCATAGTGCTTGTCGGTTTAATATTTTGTGATTTAATTTTCTGGCAGTAAACCAATCGGTTTACTATTGTGATCTATAAATATAGAACTTTTATAAAACATAAAAGCGCCACCTATCGGATTCTATCGTCGTCTAAGAAAAACCAAATATATTGTGTTAATATGACCTCGGACAATAGGTTAAGTCGTTCAGAAGTTGTACGATCACTAACCGACGTAGCTGCGATTAATTGCCATTTTTACATTTCAGCCAATTGTAAAAAGCGACTCAAAAAAAATCTCGTTGAGATTCTTGTTGGTTCTTCCCAGAGTGAGGTTTTTTCTGCATCAGTGGCAAAAGTAAAAATATGGCTTTAAAACTTTGTAAACTAAAATGAGTATTATTGATACTCTGTATTGAATTTTTAAAAAAAAACACGAATTGAGAACCTCCTCCTTTTTGAAGTCAGTTAAAAATCATTGTATTTTATTCCATATTGTGTGTAGTGGCAGTATAAGAATATCCACTAGCACATATTGTCCCGTGAGTGTCGTAAGAGGCGACAGAGGTATAATGTGTTCGTTTAGTGTCAGCACACCCGGAGGCGCACATATTATTTTGCTTTTATTTTATTATTTTTACTATGTTTGTTAAATAAATGTTTTACTATTCTAAGAATAAAATAAAATACTATTTTATTATTATGGTTATTGGAATAAAATACGAATATAAAGAATAAAAACAAATTAGGGGGCAAAGAATCTTACAATACGGTGTTTAATTTTAAAATGCCAAATTCTCATTCGGGTGTACGCCGCACGTGGTGACCGTATCTAAGCGAACAGACTATACACATCTTCTGGTCTGTTTATATATATTGTTATGGCTTTTATATACATATATATACCAGAATCACTAATATATATATATATATATATATATATATATATATATATATATATCATAGTATGATGGTACAAAGAGGTATTGCATCTCTTCTACGGGGAGTGCTCAAATAAATTCTTCAAATTAATTCCAACCGCCAAATTCCACTATAGAAGATCGACCCCCATGTGGTTGGTTTATAAATTAATTTTCTATGTACACTGAAAAAGATAAGTAGTCTGGGAGTTAAGTCGGAATGAAATCCATCGCGCCACCTACCGGAAAGGCCGGTACAACGTTTACGGGGTATACTAATGATGACAATATTGTACGTGCAGGTTTCCTCATGATATTTGCTTTACCAGTGAGAACGTGGTAAATCACCACTTAAAATTGCAATTATCAATTTCAATGGTGCCGGCGGGGATCAAATCCGGCTTGTGATCTATTAAATTTAAGAAGACCTACCAAACTTGACTAGTAATTAATAAATGTATATAAACATTTCAGACAAATTTGGAGTTCCATTTCTACCATTGCATGGACTTAGTCAAGGCCGGTATGGAATCCATCATCGAGGACCAGGTCACTTCCGTATTCGAGGCTGAGGAGTTGAGAAGTTGGAACCTTCTAACTAGGACTAACAGGTGCAGTTGCTTGTCCGGTCACAGGCTCAATCTCTTAACGAGTTCTACCTGGATACTAGACCCTTTCTCTGCCTAGGATATACAGCAATGCTGTTGTGTCCCGGTCTGAAGAGTGTAGAGAATCAGTATTAATTATACGCTGTGAGCCATTACATCTGTTCTCAGAGGTGAAACGCGTCTGCAGCCTTCTTTATTTGAATGCAGGTGTGCATAATTTGCAGTAGTATCCTACCAGCAGGTGAACTGTGAGTTCATTTTGTCACTACAGTTTATAAAAAAAAAATACCGGCAATTCTCAGTTGCCCTGTGCAGGTGAGGTTGGTTAGCATTTCGGAAACAAGTTATTACGTATGCAGTCACGCTATAACTTAATGGGTCATCTTGACCGGGGAAGGACCACCATCGCATATAGGGTACTGCCAAAAGATATCGTTAAATATTTTAAAACTATTGATGTTAAGAAAACGGCAGACTTATGGGGGATTTCCGTTAAAGTTATTTTATCTATAATAGATACATTAGCACCTTATCTAGCCACTATATTTAATATAAGCGTCGAATCTGGTGTGTTTCCTGATTTAATGAAACATAGTAAAGTCATACCTATATTTAAATCTGGTAGTACATTAGACCCCGCCAATTTTAGACCAATTTCTGTACTACCAACATTAAGTAAAATTTTTGAAAAAATTATTTTAGATCAGATGTTAAGTTTCTTTAATATTAATAAATTGCTACATAATAATCAATTCGGTTTTACAAGGGGTCGCTCGACAACTGACGCTGGAGTTGAGCTTATTAAACATATTTTTTGTGCATGGGAGAATTCAGAGGATGCTTTGGGTATATTTTGTGACCTTTCCAAGGCCTTCGACTGTGTTCACCATGAGACATTAATCAGGAAGCTACAGTACTATGGTGTCAAGAACACAGCGCTTAAACTTATTATTTCATATTTAAGTAATAGAAAACAGAAGGTTATTATCAATGGTAAAAGTTCTTCCGGGTCACCTGTACTAATGGGTGTACCTCAGGGCTCGATTCTCGGCCCATTCCTGTTTCTGGTGTATATTAATGACTTACCTCACCTTGTAGGGGATAGTCATGATATAGTATTATTTGCTGATGATACTTCCTTGATTTTTAAACTTAAACGTCAATCATTTAAATGTGACGAAGTGAATAATGCTATATCAAAATTAGTGCATTGGTTTAACGTTAATAATCTGCATTTGAACGGAAATAAAACTAATTGTGTTAAATTTACAACAACGAATGTTCAAAATCTGAATACCAATGTGTTTTTAAATGGGGAGGAATTGAGCCCTGTTGTATCCACTGTTTTTCTTGGCATCACTCTTGACGCAAAGCTCCAGTGGGGCCCCCATATATCCAAATTAGCATGCAGACTAAGTTCTGCAGCCTATGCTGTAAAAAAGATTAGAGGTCTCACTAGTGTCGAGACAGCTAGATTAGTTTATTTTAGTTATTTTCATAGCATAATGTCTTATGGGATTTTGCTATGGGGAAATGCGGCTGATTCAGAAACTATTTTTGTTTTACAGAAGAGGGCCATTAGAGCTATTTACAATCTAAAACCGAGAGAGTCTCTTAGAGATAAATTTAAAGAAATTAATATATTAACTTTGGCCTCTCAGTATATTTACGAAAATTTAATGTATGTTCACAAAAACAAAGATAGTTTTAGTAAAAGAAGTGATATACATTCTGTAAACACTAGGAACAAACACAAGCTAGTGATACCAGTTTCTCGTCTCCACAGAGTCAGTAATTCATTCTTGGGGCAATGTATACGCTATTACAACAAGGTCCCGGAAAGTGTACAGGTTCTCTCTATTACCAAGTTTAAATGTTTTATTAAGCTGAAACTGTATAAAAAGGGTTATTATAGTATAAATGAATACATGGTTGATAATAACCCCTGGGAATGAGGTGATCGCTTCCAAGCAGTTTCTAAAATAAATTTTGTAAATAGTTCCTAATCATTTATATTGTAAAATTTATTTAAAAAAAAAAGTCCCGCTGGGTTTCTTGCTGGTTCTTCCCAGGACAGAGGTTTTTTTCGAACCAGTGGTAAAGTAAAAAATGACTTTCAATAAGAATTACACATGTAATGTATATTGAATAAAAATATATTCTATTCTATTCTATTCTATTCTATCTCACAGAATGCAGATCCGTTTTACTGGTATTTTTTATTTTCATTAGCCCAAGATGCGGTATTTATTGTTGACTCGTGTATTTAATAATAGTAATAAGAATTTTAATATATGACATTTTTATTTATTTGATATATTTTTTTTCTCAATATAGACGTAGAGGCGCCATTACGAAATGTTTTATGTCATGGGTATCACTGCACAATGCTTTTCAGCTATAATATCTGGAATTTTTGTGAATATTTAATACACTGGCGATTATTGTATTTTTATAATGTGTTATCTATTTTAAATTTATCTATTTGTCTTTTATTGGCTATAACGAAAAGAAATATATTTGTACACCACACTGTAGTAGAATCACGATACCTACTGTACATTTTGCATGCCTAGCCGAGCAGGTATGTTCTGCTAGGGCTTAAAAATTAAGATTCCAACATTTGGTCGCACGAAATAGTATCTTGCAATCATATTTAATTATATATATAAAAATTATATAAAAAGCATATTGGCAGAAAGATAAATGATTGTGAACTTATTAATATTTTTTTAAATCGATTAATTGCTGTTTTTACTTAAAAACGGGTTTTAGTGGCTTGTGGTGTGGATTTATCAAGTCCGTATGATGGCGTAAACACGATAACTTTTGAAAATATCATTAATTGTTAAACTCAATCCATTTTTTTACTAACATCTAATTGACTGTGTTCACAAATAAATAGATAAATTTAAATTTGGTAAGATGCTTTCTATTATAGTCCTCGGGGGTAATACCGCATTAACATTTTTATTCTCAATGTATAGATGTAGGTGTCTATGGACCACAACATCCACTTACCACCAGGAGAACTGTGTGCTCGGTTCCATTAATTATTTTAAAAGGGTGGTATTACACCACAGAGTAAGTTAAATAATCAATATGTCTATAAAATATTAAATACCGTCAAAGCCAAACGAAGGTGTTGATTGCTGTGATAACTATACGTATGGGGATGGTATCCACAATCCAAAATTAATTTATATGTACGGATGATTATGTAGGCTATTAATGAAAATCTATTCTTAAGGAGAAAACTCCGAAAGCTAATACCCTGTACGTTTCATTGCAGAATACCAGGCGTCCTCTTAGTTTCATTAACCCCCGATTAAAAAGGGAATTGTTATATGTTTAACGTATGTATCTGTGTATCTGTACGAGGGTGGTGTACAAAAAAGAATATTAATGACTAAAAAAAGTAGACTTCCGCAAAGTAACGCTTGATCCTATTAACTATCTTAAAAAAAAATATACTTCATAGATTGCGTACTGTCTAATACAGTATATTTTTCAAAACAACTAACGCCATCTTTAGGTCAGACCGGGTACTTATGGGACCACCCTCGTACGTCTGTCTGTGGCATCGTAGCTTCCCAACGGATGAACCGAACTGAAATGAACAATTTAGTTTTTTTTTGTTTGAAAAAGTTGACTAGCAGGACTGTTCTTAGCTATGAGGAGATCATCAGTACTTTTTGTTTCCAGGGTTTTAAAAAAAAATTAAGTTATTTCAATAGATTGTTTATCGATAAGTAATCGCAGAAGCTGAGTGTGTATTATCCTCAATGTGTTTTATGCTTTCAGACAGTACGAGTTTCTAACGTGGAGGCTAACCATCATATGGATGATGGGCTTCGTGGTGCGGTACTTCTTCCTTCTACCCTTAAGGCTATTGATCTTCGTCATTGGGGTAAGTGAACTAAGTACTTAACTAACACTTGTTGTGTAGAATGTCACAAGCAACGTTTTTTTCTGCCACCACAGCGACGACACTTAAGGAGTGAAATATTTGACAGATTTCATAGCGGGGGAAGTTAATATGTTAGAAAAATGTAGATATTAACGTTTCTTTCTTAAATATTACATAATATATATATTTTATATTCATTACATTAGAAATGGATAAATCATAATGCAGATATTTGAAAAAAAAATTAAAGAATACAACACTGAGGCAATGTTTTGTATTTATAAACAGAACAGAAACAGACTAGATAATGTGAACATGCGCGTAACAAATAAGTTCACCTTAATCCCAATTAGCGATGTCTGATGTGCGTAAAATTGTAAGTTTACATAAGTATGTAGATTACTGAAAAAATCACACAAAAACAAACATACAGTCAAACAGGAAAAACATAGAACCTTCCTTTTATAAGTCCGTTAAAAAGGGATTATTTTCAAAACTTAAAGTGGCTGCTTTCAAACCTAAAGTAATTTTGTTATACAATTTGTAAAGAAAATATCTGTCCGTTCTGAAAAAGGAACTTACCGCAATTATATTATAAAAAACTTATTAATGAAAAAAAAAGTATATATATATATATATATATATATATATATATAAAATGTTATCGTCATTTAAAATGTCATAATGTATTTTTACTACAATTAGCTTATAATTCAGCTAATTTAAAAATCTTGCAACACCGTCGGAGGCGACAATGTCTCTGAACATGTGGTGGTATCCCGACAGCCGCCTGCGTTTTTAATTAATTTATGCGGGGTAATTTTTCATTCTATGAAAATTATTTCATGAACAGAATCCTATCACAATACCTAAAAGGAAAAGCATCCTCACGGATCTGACAGGATTTTTTTTACATATTATATTAAATTGTGTTAATTGTGTTGAGGCGGTATAGAAATATCTACTACCCCAAATCGTCCCGTGGGTGTCGTATGAAGCGACAAAGACAAGCGGATCCAGAAGATGGGCAGCAGCAACTTTCTGATAAGAGCTGAATAAAAACCGAAAAACCTGCAATTACCAATCCCCTTGAGAAGTGTGGCAACTATGGCAAATATCCCCCTTATGAGGCTATTTATGGGAGGCCCATGTTAAGCAGTGGAAAATTGATAGGCTTCAAGGTTTTCGCCCGGAGTAGTGATCGATTCGTACCGATAGTTGTCTAAGGAGTCAACTGTGGGGGATGGCAAGAATCGGCGGCTCTGGCTCGCATTTGTCATATGTATAATGTGCCAATTACGGTGGCAAAGGCTTTTGTCCAGATATGGACTGTTTTTAGAATTTTTTTTACTGACAAACGAACTTACAGACCACTCTATGGTAAGTGGCTACTGCAGCCCATACACATCTGCAACCAACTACAAAAGAATGCCGCAGATGCATTGTCACTTCCGAGGACTAAGATGGAATGCCTCACAGTCTGCAATTATACTGGCTCCTCTATAATCTTTAGACCAGAACGTGGAAGTACAAGCCCTGGTCTTTTGCGGCAGAAATAGGTAAGCCTACTCAGAGAGACACTGAATATAGAAAAATGTTCTACCACCTAATTATTGTAGCATTTCTCATACATATTATTATTATTGGATTTAGAATAATACATTCAGCTAAATACATTAGTAAAATGTTACTATATTTTAACAAATTCTACTAAAAGTTACCGTTATTACTGGCAACACCAGGTGCTGACGCTGTTAACATCAATGCTAGCAGTGAGCATGATCCCATCAACAAAATGGCGCCGATATTTCGGCGCGATCGCATACAAGTTGTCTATGAGAATATTACTAAGATGCTTGTCTTGTGTGGTGACGTTCCACGACACTCAGTACATGCCGAAGACCACCGGATTCTGTGTGGCCAACCATACGAGTCCAATTGACGTCATACTGCTCAGTGTCAACAGTTTCTTCTCTTTGGTAGTTTTTTTATACTATCTTTGTTTATACCGGGATCTGTACTCGCACGAGCTCGTTTTTTTGGGCTGGCATTTGTGTATGTTTATATCGGGCAATATTTTCTTGGTTGTTTTATTGTGTTTTCTTTTATCATTTGGTACATTGAAAATATATTATATATATTATTCCATTTGTGAACTTAGCTACATTCAAAATGACCAATTAGATATTGTAGCCATCTTAATGTTTTGGGTGGTGGTGGGATGGGTGAGGTTCTCTTCAAGGTATTTTACATAACCTTGAATGGAGCTACCCCTGCCAAATCTAACGTGTCCAGTCTTGCACCAGCATGCGGCACAACACTACCCATCCCCCCCTCCCATACGCACCTCACGAACACGGGGGCAACCCTCATAATATCACCCCTCATTTCATCGCTTAGGTTTGGTGGCTGATTGTAAGCACGGCCTGCGTTGGGACTCTACCCGACGGTCCGTTCAAGCAACGGGTCAATTATGCGACTTCGATCTTGAGCTTCAACTTCCTCTCGAGGTGTATATCGATGGTGATCACCTACCATGATGGTGACGTGAACAAGCCGAAGAACGGGATATGCGTGGCGAACCACACCAGCCCCATCGACGTGCTGGTGCTGATGTGCGATAACTGTTACTCGTTGGTGAGTTACAGTGATGATGGTGAATGTTCAGGGTCGAAAGAAGCATGCTGCGTAACATAGCTTAGATTTATACTGTGATGTTGAAAATTAATTTAGTTTAAGACTATATAATCCACTTTCTTTTTAAATACCGCACCTCCCACACTGGGATTTTCTCCTGTATTATGCAAGCAATATACATATATTTCACACGGACCAACATCTAGACCCGGAACAATTATAGTCTGTTCGCTTAGATACGGTCGCCTTTGTGTCGCGCTTCCTTGGCTCTTGCCGCATTTTTTCATAGGCCCCATGGCGATATCAAAGGCCTTGCAGCGTACCGTAAACCCGAAGGACAATTTGGCAAGTAGTTAAAGGTTCTTTGCTATTTAACTTGTTTTATTATTTATATTCGTATTTTATTACAATAACCATAAGAATTAAATAGTGTTCAATTTTATTTTTAGAATAGAAAAACATTTATTTAACAAACACAGTAAAAAAAAAAAAAAAAGCAAAATTATAAGTGTGCCTCCGGGTGTACCGACACTATCTAAGCAGATAGACTTTATTTGTAGGCCATATAAACAGTAAGCTGATGGGGAAATGGGCCATCCGTATTAGCTAGACCAACCGACAACCGATGGAGAGCCGTGTAGTGGCGGTGTAAAGGAATCCACTATCCCATATCTTCCCGTGGGTGCCGTAAGAGGAGAATAAAACAGGAGATGGGTCTCTATCAGCGTCTCCCTGATAACAACTCAAAAAGAGAGTAATAGTCACTATAGGTGATACCAGAAATATGTTACAGCCTTCGTTAGATGGCGGATAAAAGTGCGAGAGGTTTGCTACTGCGACATGTTGGATAACCTCCTTCCTCGCGATGTCTTCCTTCACCACCAAGAACGAAAAGCAGCATTTAAAATAACAATTAACAATTTCCTTGGTGTTCATGACTCCTTTATTTATAAGTAGTAGATATTACTTACAGCTTATAAAAAGTCCCAGGTTCGATCCCCGCAGATACCAATGAAATCGTTAATTGCAATTTTAAGTGCTGATTTACCACGTGCTCGGTGGTGAAGGAAAACATCGTGAGGAAACCTGCATGTATGAGAAATAAGAAATAAAATATATTTCGAAGACATGTGAAGTTCGCCAAAACCCTCTCAGAGTTGTGAGGAGGCCTCTGCCCAGCAGTGGGACGTCGCAGTGGCATAGCAATGAGTCGCGGGTTCGAATCACGCACAGAACAAGTATTTGTATGGCCTACAAATAATTGTTTCGCGTCCGGATGTTTGTCCTTGTGAAATTTATGTATGTAAACTGCACCCACGATACACGAGAAAATCCTAAGTGTGTGGAGGTGACGTTTTTTAGATAATAATAATAATAAGATGGTATTAGCTATTTTGACGACGACTTGACTTTGTATAGTATATGTCTTTTATGACCCGCTGTTGTTAGGTGTATCTCGTAAATTACTTATTTTTACTTACATGCTATGCCATCACATAATATATATTAATTTCGAATGTAATAATTAAGTGTATGTTAATGTGTCTTTGGTTTTGTATTTATCTATGTATGCAACACATATCATCTTTTTCTATTTGCTAGCATGATTGTGTCACGTGGCAAAGAAATGGATAGGTATAAGTATATATTGTACATAGAATTAAACTTTTAAATACGTAGGTTATCAATTATCTGGGATATAGAACGTGGTATTTCGGACGTTAAACACTCGCAGTAAATTTCATAGTACGAGAGGAATCCAGGTTCGAACCTGGGTTCACCCTGTCGGCAGCAATAACTTTGATAATTGCAACTTGAAGTGCGTAGTGCACGACCGTGCAGTGGCGGTTTAAGAATATCCACTACCCTCAGGGATTCCCAAACTATTTTTGGCAAGGGACCCCTTTTCCAAAATGAACTGATATCTCAGACCCCATAGCCTTATTGACTTGCCGAGTTTTTCATCTTGTACGAACATGTGCACGCTTATTAACTTATTGAGTTTTTAAGCCGGCTATACATGTTGGCGGAGCCAAGGCAAGTACCAACGTATACCGGAACAAACTTGTGTCTGAAGTCGAGTCTTTGCTGGACAAAGTCTCGGATTGGGGGCGACTAAATCTAGTCCAGTTTAATCCTCAGAAGACACAAGTTTGCGCGTTTACCGCTAAAAAGAACCCCTTTGTCGTATCTCCTCAGTTTCAAGGCACTCCCCTTCTTGCCTCAGCCAGTATCGGTATCCTCGGAGTCGACATATCGAGTGACGTGCAGTTTCGTGGTCACTTGGAAGAGAAGGCCAAATTGGCCTCTAAAAAGCTTGGCGTGCTCAGCAGAGCGGGACAGTATTTCATGCCGGCACACCGCCTGCAACTTTACAAGGCGCAGGTTCGGCCTCACATGGAATACTGTTCCCATCTCTGGGCAGGGGCTCCCCAGTGCCAGCTCCTTCCACTTGACCGCATCCAGCGCAGAGCGGCTCGAATCGTCGACGACCGAGCCCTTTCCGATCGGCTCGATTCATTGGCACTGCGAAGAGATGTTGCATCTCTTTGCATTTTCTTTCGCATCTACCATGGGGAGTGCTCTGAGGAATTGTTCGGATTAATCCCAGCCGCCAAATTTCATGAACGCACATCGCGGCAGAACTCCCGATACCATCCACACCATCTGGATGATTGGCGGTCCACCACTGTGCGATTTAGAAGATGTTTTCTTCCTCGCACGACTTCCTTGTGGAATCGATTACCATCAGCGATTTTTCCGGACCGATATGACTTAGGGACCTTCAAGAAAAGAGCCTACTCCTTTTTAAAAGGCCGGCAACGCATCTGCAATTCCCCTGGTGTTGCGGTTGTTCATGGGCGGCGGTAGTCACTTACCATCAGGTGAGCCGCATGCTCGTTTGCCCCCTCTCCTATAAAAAAAAAAAAAAAAGACAGCCCAGCCCATCCCTATTTGTCTAGCCTCGCCATTGCTCGTCGTCGCTCGCCTAGCTGGCCGAGACAGCGTGTATACGGTTCGTTTGGGGTGCCTTGTCACCACTCGGGATCGGTCGTCACTACTTGTCTCACTTCGGAACAGTGTCAGTTTTGCTGCACAAATCAAAGGCGCTCGCCTGCGCTGTTTGGACAATAGTAAGGAAACCTGTATGTCTGAGAAATTAAATAGAAATATTTCCAAGACATGTGGAGTACGCTAACACGCATTGGGACAGCGCGGTGGTTACTTCTTTGGACTGAAGCCCTCTCAGAAATGAGAGCAGGCCTGTGGTCCAGTAATAGGATGTATATAAAGGCTGTAATTTGTTTTGATTTTGACTTTAACTGCTGTTAGTAAAGTACTTTAATATATCAAAATTTATAGTTCATGAATTTTTTTTATTAAAAAAAAGATTTTCCTTTTCTTTTTATAGTTACCTAAACACTAGGAATTTCTGAAGTTATTTTACAACCACATACATAAATTGCATATGGACAAACATCCAGTCCCATAAATAATTTGTAGCCTTTACAAACACTCGTGATCCGCAGCTCTTATCTAAGCTACTGTGCTACCGAACATATCTAACAAATCATACATGTTTCAGATTGGTCAAAGGCACGACGGTTTCCTTGGGCTTTTGCAAAGGGCATTAGCTAGGGCTTCGCCGCACATTTGGTTCGAGAGATCGGAAGTCAAAGATCGACACGCGGTCGCCAGAAGGTATGCAGTTTGTTGATAAACTCAACATTTTATTTTTACAGAGTATAGGAATGTTGCAGCTGTATTCCCGGCTCGACCGGGTCCATATTTGCACAAAATTTTCAACTTTATTAACCAGCACAGTACTACTGAGTTTTGTATGGTAAGTGGCGAGAATCGAACACGAGTGAACACAACCAAACCCAAAAAATATATTTTGTGCCTATTTTTTTATTCTTTCTTATTATGCAACTTTGTATAATATACAGGTTAGGATTTAAACAAAAAACGTAGTTGTCAAGATTTTCTAAAACATTACAAATATTTTAATTTTATAATCAATTTAGATAAAATCAAGAGTTTGTTTGCAAAGTTAATGTCCGCGGCTTACTCGAATACTTTATAACTTATTCCATATTTATATACGAAATTTTAATGTTATAACATCAATCCGGCTTTAAGGACCAATTATATAATTTTAGAAATTAAATATATTTTTCGATTTCCAGACTAAAAGAACACATATCGGTGCCGGACAACCCCCCAATCCTCATATTCCCTGAAGGCACCTGCATAAACAACACCTCAGTTATGCAATTCAAGAAGGGAAGCTTCGAAGTCGGTGGCACCATTTACCCAGTCGCAATTAAGTAAGTGATATAATATAAGATAACTAGCTTTTGCCCGGGACTTCATTCGCGTAGATATTATACTTTAAAACATAGGTGACTTTCATAGTAAATTCCATCACCCTCTTCAGCCACTAAAACGTCCGGGCGAACATAGTCGCTTAATATTTTTTCCGGTTGAACATTAGGGCAACTAGAGCGGCTTCGCTGACCTCTATACTTCAAACAACTTTTTATCTGTGGAAAGTTCCAAAAATCTTCATGAATGAGAGTTTTGGCGGGAACTTGACCGGTGGCGGTTTGCTACTCCTGTATTATTGTTTAAATAATGGTTTGAAGTGGACTTTGATATGTAAAAGTGGTGCGATTTTCTGTATTAAATGTCTGCGCATGTGAACTATTAGTGGAAACTGTGAAATAAGTGCCCTGATGGTGATGTGATTCTCAAAATAAGGTGTCTGTCTGCTTAGGCGCCTTGAGATACCATCGCCAACCGTCAGCTATCTGCTGGCTCAAGTTGCCGTCAAAATCTCCCAAGGGCTGCACAATGTGACGCATCAACATATTGTGAAGCAGTATACTGTGAAGGATAATTATTATAATATATTGTAATGTCAGGCTCAGAAGGGCTAGATCCCAGAGCCGTAAAGCCAGTTTATTAAGAAGAATAATCTTCATGAATGTCATGACTAGACGACTCTATATTAAAAAAAAACGCGTCTATGGGTTAGTAAGTCTATGCTAGGTAACATACCATTGACAAAAAAAAAAGAAGAAAAAACGGGTTGTGTCAGGCCTCTGTCACTCTTGCTACCTGCGTGATATAATTACCTACAATCGCGAGCTGCTCCAGGGGTAGATCGCAGTCGGGGCTAGCGCGCTCTAGGTGATTGAATGTTACAGTTTTTTTTTTAATGCTGTTTACGTAAAAAATGAATACTTACTGTTTAGTATATTTAATTGTAGGATAAAATAGTGAAAAAAGTTTTAATGTCGTTCAGATATATCATTTTTTGAGTTATCGAAGGATAATGAAAGGTAAATTTATTTCATTTTTTTGTTAGATACGAGGGCGGCACTGAAAATTTCGGGAATCAAGGAAGTGACACAACATTACTATTTAAAAATGTATTTATTGCTTTTCGAAGTATTCTCCGCGAAATTTGACACATTTTTCCATACGACGGAACCAATCATTGAAGCAACCATTCCATTCGGAAGTTGGGGTCTCCAAAATGGCCGTTTTGTAGGCGTCTACAGCTTTTTCATGTGATGAAAATCTCTATCCACGCAATTTATTCTTTATTTTAGGGAAAGTATAGAAATCATTAGGGCTTAGGTCGGGGCTGTACGGCGGTTGGTCTATTAATTCTATGTTTTCTTGCTCTAAAAACTCTTTTGTTCTGTGTGCGGTGTGAGAACTCGCATTGTCGTGATGGAGGATGATGAGGCGGTTGCAGTTCTCTTTACGGAGTTCAGAAACGACCTGTGGCAAACAAATGCTAGCATACCATTCTGCATTAACCGTTCTTTGTTCCTCAAGAGGAATAGTCGTAACATGGCCGGTTTTGGAGACAAACGTGGCCACCATTTTTTTAAAGTTGCCTGAATTTCGCGGTATGTCACATGTCGATCTTCCTCAATCAGCTTACGCACAGCATCAACGTTTTCTTGGGTGACTGCAGTTTTTGGACGACCTTGACGGGGATCATCACTGAGCTTGACACGTCCACGTTGAAATTCAGCAAACCAGCGATAAATTGTGGTTTTGGATGGGGCTTCATCACCAAATGCAGAAATCATCCGAACAACACACTGTTTTTGTGTTAAACCACTTCGAAAGTCATAATAAATCATCGCTCTTGAATTTTCTCGAGTCAATTCCATTTTCTCAACGACTAAACAAGTTTGACAAGACCGAGAATCTTTTTTTAAATAAATAAATGGTATTCAATTTTAAAAAAACCAAGGACTTTTCAATTAAAAAGATTTTAATATGACAGGAACAATGGAAATATTCCATTTCCGATACTTTTAGTGCAGCCTATGTAGATACTTGTAGCGAAAAAGTAATTAAGTCATAATTTAACTACAGAAGTAATACCTAAGTACTTTATTACAAAACTTAGTTGAAATTTACTTCACTACCTAAGCACTTATATACTTACATACCTATTCTTGTCTTTAGTACTTAAATTATAAAATATTTTAGTTATAATAGCACAATATACTGAAATTAAAACTTTGTTTACGAGATTTTTAACTAAGTAGATTACGATCATATTTCTGTTAGGAATCGTATTTCGGGTTTATTTGTTGTTTACGCTATCTACCTACGAACCAAGCATCGCGATTCCCGACGAATTGGCCTTGCAAGTTGCATGCGATGGGCATCACAGAACTCACATAGTAGATCATATGGTCGATTATAGTCAGAATAGGTACTTTACCTAAGTAACTTACCATTTCACTGTGTATTTTTTTAACTCTTTATTAACAGCTCTTAGCAACCACGGAAAGTCTGTTGTGATGTTGTAAGAAGAAAAGATGCAAAGTAATACGGACACTCGCGCGCAGCGATAAAGTTTTATTTAGCGTGCGTGCGTGATTTATCTGATTAATAATAACTATGTAGGATATTAAAACGTCGGCAAGCAGTCAACATCAAAAGAGTGCAACTTCTGTACGTAGTACTATTATTTATTCTGCGGTTGTGTCAAGTTCTGCCGGTAGTACTGTGATTTCTGCTTTTAAAATGTAATTAATAATGTGCTTAGTATACTTTTGTACTAGTATTATATATGAAAATAATCCTCAATATGCTTTCTTTTCGTATATCTACAAGTTTTATGAATCCAAAGTCTGTAATGATGTTTTTATATGTGATCAAGTCGACATGCGTAAACTTCGCCTTTGTGTGTCGGTATTTCGTTAATTTTTTAGGGTTCCGTACCTAAAAAGGAAAAAATGGAACTCTTATAGGGTCACTTTGTTGTCTGTCTGTCTGTCAACACCCTGTCAGGAACGCGTGGAGGTATCAAACTGAAATTCATATCAAATACTCAAGTCTACTGTCCCTTGGAGCTGTGAAAAAATCAAACTTCTAAACCTACGCAATCAATAGATACAGCCGTTTATGTCGCAAATTTTCGACATTCGCAAGGGAATCAAAACCTACAGGGTACTTCCCGTGAATTCAGAATCTTAAAATTTGGTACGAAGCAACGTATTATAGCACAGATAAAGGAATAATTGCGAAAAGCATAAATTTTTAGTTACATCATATAATAAAAACATTTTTAATAAATTTAAAGTTATATACCTACGGATTTGTTCGGAACCCTCGGTGCGCGAGTCCGACTCGCACTTGGCCGGTTTTTTATATTATATATTATTTATTTTAATAAAATATTATTAGGTACTAACGTAATTAAATTTTGCATTTCATTAGCTTTCTGTGGGTGATTTTTATTCTAATATAGGTTTATTTATTTCTGAAACTTACAACTATCATTACAGAATTACCTAATGCGATAGTGTAGCTAACTGATTTGTATTCATGCTTTAATTTTTATAACAAATTACAAGCAATGCTGTCTTTGTGAATTCACTCAGAGTACAACAGAACAGGTCCGTCTCACTAGCTATTAATTTGAGCGTAAGGTTGGTTCGACCGCGCGGCTCCACCAACAGTCGCGGCTGCCGTCGTAAACATAGGTTTAATTGCCCTAACATGTGAGCGTTATGCAAGTTTGTTCTGAGTATTTTAAAAATATTCGAGGTGAGCGCAAGTTCCCTTGTAACTCTTAGTTCATTATATCCTATAAAATGGGTATACACCATAATAACCACTGACCTTGCAAATTGCATTAAAAAATGCCTATCAAATGGTTCATTTCCTGACAGCCTAAAAATTGCGAAAATCAGCCCAATCCATAAATCTTGAACAAAAACTGATCCTAGTAATTACAGACCCATATCGGTGCTCCCTGTTATTTTTAAAGTGTTTGAAAAAGTAATATATAAAAGACTTAACGAGTATTTTAACGCTAAAAACTTTTTCATTGAACAACAATATGATTTTAGATCAAATCTAATACATTGTCAGCAGCAATTGATGTAGTTACAAAAATAAAGACAAAGATTGATCGAAAACATGTCTGTTTGGGAATATTCATAGACTTAAAAAAGGCTTTTGATACGGTAAGCCACTCAAAACTATTACAAAGGCTAAATAATATAGGAATAACAGGTACAGCACTAGATATATTGGCCTCTTATCTCGCTAACCGCCAACAGATTGTACAAATATCTAACTATAAAAGTGATCCTCAACATATTACCTGTGGCATTCCACAAGGCTCAATATTAGGCCCTCTGTTATTTCTTACATACATAAACAACATAGTAAATTTAAACCTATCAGGTCATTTATCACTCTACGCAGATGACACTTGTCTTTTTTACTTTGTACATTCAATTCATGAAGTTATATCACAAGCACAAAAGGATTTGGATATATTAAATGAGTGGTTTTCATACAATCTTCTCACAATTAATGTGACCAAAACATCATTTATGATTTTCTGTGCTAAAAATAAAAAATGCCTACCTACACACCACTTAAGATTAATAATATTACTCTTAAAATATCTAAAAAAGAAAAGTACCTAGGTCTATTATTAGATAACAAACTGATATGGGACTTTCATATAGACAAAATAACATTAAAATTAGCATCACTTACGGGAGCATTACGAAAGGTGTCAAACTGTATTCCATACAAAATCAAAACTACTATTTATAACGCCCTAGCCAAGCCACACCTGGAGTACCTTATAGAGAAGTAAGAAAAAGTGTAACAAATTAATTAAAGGTGTTCATATAAGAATGAAACATAATCTATACTATAATATAATAAAGCGGACGAGTTTTTTTGTTTGTTTAAACGCGCTAATCTCTGGAACTACCAGTCCGATTTGAAAAATTCTTTTTGTATTTTATAGCCAGATTCATGTGGA